GATTGATGCATTAACATAACATTCAAATGCATTTCATGGCTTCCGAATCAGCCAACTATCAAGTGTTTTGACCCAGAATTGCAAAAGATATGAGGGATCAACACCCGAACCGCTACAACACGCTATGGAATTTCACCGTTTTCCATAGTGATGCGCAGCCTGCGCTATGAGCCCGATCGCTCCGGCTGCACTATTTAGACAAAAAAAAAATTCTCACAATGTCGAAGCGGTACGTACCGCTATTTTTGCGCTATATAGCGCGCTATATGAGAAGGCGCTATGGGTTGAAGGTATTTCAAAAAGAAAAACAAAACAAAAGATAAACATAACAAAAAGGAACTATAAGAGGAAACAAAACAATAAATGTTAAAATCAAATATTTGAACTTCACAAAAGGATGGAATATATCATTTGTCCTTTTTTTCTTTGTCATCTTCTCTACATAAAATTCAAATGCCATGATCGAAATTACACTTTATCAAGAAGATGAATCTCAAGAAGAAGATGAACTCGTGATTGATCGTGATCGGTCAGACCTAACAGTACCTAAAAACAAAGAGAGGCATTAAAATCAAAGAAGATAACATTGATATGAATCAAATGAGTCAGTAAGAAGAACAGACAAACAAAAGATCGATCAGAAACTTACTTAGATAATGATAAAGTACCCTACAATCAAAATCTGAACGAGTAAAGCTATGAGATAGTGGAGAGTAAGTGGAAGAGATACAGTTAGTGATTAACAGATCAGGAGGAGAGGAGAGAGACAACTTACCATGATTGAACAAACTCCGATCGAAGTAAAATGCGAAATTTGTGAGATCGAGATTGGAGATGAAAGAAAAGAGGTGGTTAGTTTTGTGTGTGTCCGTCAATTGAGTGGATTTTTTTGGGTTATTTCAGTATTATCATTGTGTTCATCTGATCGTTGGATCAGGAGTGGAGTGTTTTGAGTTTTTTTGATTAAAGTGTCCGAGTTGAGGTTTTGGTCCCTTTTGAAGAAGGGAGTTAGTCAAGTGTTTCTTTCAAGTCCTGGTGTCTGCAATCGAATAATTATCTTTTGAGTTTGATTGTGATCGTGTTCTGTAAAAGAAAAAGTCTAGTTGTTTTGCGCCTAGTTGTAGATGTGGCGTGGTCTGGCGTGATACCCTGTACCCCACTGGTTTTCTCCGCTATATAGCGGAGAAAGACCTCCTGGTCCCGGTTGCGCAGCGAATGCTCCGCTATGGGAAAGGCCAGCCCTGGTGTGCGGTGCGGAATCTCCACCATGTATTGCGGAACCCATGGCGCACCCAAAAAACGCTACGACATCGCTCCGCAATTGCCATATAGTGCGATGCGGTTCGGGTATTGGAGGGATATAGAATTCCAGATATCCCCTTGTCACCCCTTGACCAAATTCCAATCCGTGTTACAGGTTGTAATCTGAGAAACTTGGAGGTTTTTTGTTAGTACAATCAACAATTCTCACACTAAAAATACAAAAAAATACTCAAATCCAAGGTCTCAGCCATAGGCACAATATGCATATTTTTGTGTATTTTTGTCTCTCTCCAAGACTGCTCAATATCACTGTTTGTTGGTTTTTATATTTTCTGCCCAGAGGATATTATATTTTGTGTAGTATTATATGCATTGTGGTTTTAAAAATATGAAAAAATATGCCAGACAATCGGAATGCATCAAAGGGCCCTCCCATTATTTTTTCATATTTTTCTGACCCTTGCCAGCTTCTCTATAATTTTCTATGTCTACTCAATTTTCTAAACTCCACGGTAAATTTGCAATTTGGTGCAGTGTATATGCAAACCCCAGGCCGCGCATAATCAAAGGCAGCACGTAAAGCCGGGTCTTCAATCTGGTTCCAAGGTAATGCTTGCTAAACAAGCCAAAGACAAAGTAACCTGTTCATTATGCTGATGTCGTATTGGGCTTTTGACTGCTTGATGCCGAAGGATGTGAGTGTTGATTGAGTTTTTGTCTTTGCAACCGCTTTAACTTCAGCTCCTGTTGGTGGAAGATTGGCGCCAGCTGCAATAGCCCGGTCTCGTCCAGGGCACGAAGACATTCCCTTTTTGGCTTAAGGATTTCCATCTCGATGGACCTTGAGGTTTGCTCGAGGATTGCTACTGCTGACACGGATATCCACCTTTCCACACCAAAGACAAGTGTGATTCAGGGGTTTACAAGTCGGGTCCTTTGATTCCTGTAATATAACTTGATCAGAACTGGGTTGGATTATTGTTGAAAAGATAAATAGAATACAACTCACCTCTTCCTTTGTACGATATGCTTCAGAATAATAATCGAGCACATCGTCATGACCATTGGTGTCCTTCTTTTACTTGTTAGTTCGGGTTGATTTGATTTGTTCAATCTCGCTATCAGAATTCTGGCCAAGAGCAGCACGATCCATTGCACCGGGCTGCCAAAATGAAATGCATCAGTTTTGATTATCCCTTTCAAGACTATGATGAATCATCATCTAACCTTGGTGACATTGGCGGCTTTAGTCTTCTTGCGTGTTGGTTTTTTCTTTCGTAAACTCTTCTTCTCAGTAACATTCTGGCTTTCAGTCTCACTATCATCTAATACAACATGTTTCCGTTTTGGAGGTGAAGGCTGAGCTTGAATTGATAGAGCGGCGGATCAACGTGAATCAGATGATGGAATGATCATATTCGGGGCTCTTCTAGGGGTGATGATGCGACTCGTTCTTTGAGGGAGGACACTAGAAGACTCTTCTTCGTTCCCACCTGTGTTTGCATTGTTGTCTGTAGGTTGTTGTTGTGGAGTTGGAGTGACCTCTTGAGTATGGGTAGTTGTTTTGCCGGGTTCATCGTCCATGATTGGTTGATGAAGATGAGTTGGAGAGAGTTGGGATCGGTGGTGGAAGGAGGTTGTGATTGGAGGTTGACTCGTGGGAAGGCCAAGATGTATACGGTATGTGTATACAGTATGTATAAAAGACCTAACAGACCAGGTATCGGGCCAAAAACAATGCCCAACACCCGGGTTGACCCAGCCACAGCAGGGCTGTCTCCTTGGGCTACCCAGCTAAAGCCGCTAAGTTAGCGGCTTTGGCCTTGCTGAAGGCCTTAGCTTAGCGGCACATAGGCTAAGCTAATTAGCTTAGCGCTGGCCCGCTAATGGAAATTCATAGGCCCCTTAGCTTAGCTGGCGCGCGCTAAGGTTTTTCGCCTAGCTTAGCGCAAAAAAATCGCTAAGGTAAGGCGCCGCTAAGCGCTAACTTAGCTTAGCCGAGCCACCGTTGCCCTGAGCTCTAAATCACACTCATTATACTTTTCTAGTGCTTCTTGTTTCTTCCCGATCATGTCTAGCCATGTCTAGCCTTTTTGTAATCATGTTATTCTGTCATTGTGTGTTCAGAAATTGATTCCTTTTGATTGTTGAGCCCCAAAACACCATCTTGGGACCCTCTGTGACCACCACAGCCGTTTTTTTAAAGAAATTGGGAAAAAGTAGGTTACTGACAAAAACAGTTGGAATCTAGGTCACTAACCTCCATAGGCGCTTTCCAGGGTCCTGTCCAGAAGGTGTCCAGGTTTTACAAAACAAAAACACTGCCATCACATAGCAGTCACTGAAAAGCAAGCTGTATGCAAGAGTGCTGGACTTATTGATTGACAGCTCAGCCGAGCAAAGACTGACGAGGTCAAACACATCACATCACAACCAGATGGTTGCACTTGGGGTCTTGACCAACCTTCATACCATCTTTGACTATGATTTTTGGTCGTTTTGAACCCACAAAAACCAGTGAAAACGACTGATTGTCAAATGGTTCTCCTGATTTTGTTACCGGAACCGCTTTGTCTTGGTTCTTGCAACAAAATTCCTGGACACGTTTCCAGAACCATCCGAGGCCGAGGAAGTTTAGCCCTGGTGTAGTCCTAAGCCCCTCTGTGAGCGCGCAGACACGGCGGCGCAGTGGGGCTTGTGTTAAGCTAACATATCCGCCATGAAAATCAATTTTGATTGCTAAACATAACATATAAGCATGAAATAGTTCTCAGCAGCTTTCGTGGTCTTATATCAGCTCATGTTTTATAAGACACATATTGTAACTCACATTAAGTCCAATTTTCACGGCAACAATTGCTGGTGCTCTTAGAGGTCCTTCACAGTCAGCCTACGGCAGATGCTTTTCTCAAAGTTGCTAGTTTAGTAATGGGTTTCTCAACAGATACTGAATTAGACATCATTACATTTATTCGCAACTATTATCGAAAACGGCAAGTGTGGATGCTGGATTGTTATTACACCTTCAAATATCCTTCAAATATACACTTCTGAAAGCTTGATCTAAACGATTCAAAGGATACTACAAACTTGAGATACATGATCCTAATTGAGGGTGATACAAGCGAATAATTTCATTCTACCAAAGGCCGCATTGAATGCAGGCACAGATGACAAACCGTCTGGTGAAGTGACTGAATGAGAGCGAGAAGCCATCAATTTGAAAACCCTGGACACTGCTAATGAATAAAACCCATAACTTACAAGAACGAGATTAAGGGTTTGAGTTTTCATTCGAATTTGCAGTTTGTGACTTAAGCCTTTGTTTATAACTTTCCAATTCTTTCAATGCCAACTGTTCTTCCTTCTCCTCCTCCAATTCCAATTCTTTATTAACAGTATCTTCAATGACAGTGAAACGACCTGTTTCAACAGCTTTTCGTCTTGGATCTTCTACTTTGATGACTCCATTTCGATTTAATCGGTCAAACAAGTCGCAGAGCCGATCAGCCTCCTTCTCACGTTCTTGCTCAGACATCTCGTCTTCAGGTGATCCTTCGACCTCTGGAGGATAAAACGCTCCAGTGATAGGATTCACATCTGTTGGAGGTTGATGTTCACTACTCGAAGACACGCCTGGCTTTCCAATCGACATCAAGAAACCGGCAACAGGACCATAACCGACTTTACTGACGAGATGTTCAGCTGTGATCGTGAAAAAAACATGAGTACGTTGATCGGGTTCAGCTAGGCGTAGAAAAATAGATATGACAAACCATCTTCGTTGAACAAAGCGTACAAAAACCCGCCACAGGTGACTTTAAGCGAGTTGAAGTTGATTGAGTTCATCAAACGCAACAATCGCCCTATCAAGTTGGATTGCTTATTCAAACCGGTGCTACGATCGATAGTGGTGGGAATTAACTTTTCTTGGATGGCTTTTCGAATATCCGTAGTCAAGCCGGTAAATGCTTGGGGATTCTTGGTGGGTGAGAGGAGGTTGACCAGGAGGACCATGACTTGAGTAAGCTGAACATCAAGGTCCATGTTGTGTTGGTCACATCGCTGTTTCACTGATGAAGCATCAGGGTTATCAGGACAATAAAACTTGGTCACCGAATCGACAACATCCAGCAGCTTGGTTATCAAAGGCGGGATCGTCTGCTCCGATTGAAAATCATGTTTGTAATGTGTGAAGTAAAACGAAGGACAAGTTGGAAAATTGAGAAAGGTATGAATATAAGAAGAGAGAGGAGGGCAGAGGTTAGGCGGATTTGTGAGTGGTTCGTATAAGAATAACTGAATCAAATAGGGAAGTAGACTAATGTGGTTTTGTCACAAAAAAATCAGAGCCGTGTCATAATATCAAATCGTTTGAACAAAGTAATAGAGACTTACCCAGCGAATACTTTGTTCTCCGATTCACTCCAGAACACAGCATCATCTTCAAAGGACAAGCTCAGCCAGGAACTGCTACTCAAGCTACTGATATCACTCCTTTGTTCCTGTGAGTTCAAGCCCAAAGTCTGGTTGCTACCCAACTCCAATTCTTTACCTTGAGTAGTCTTAGGCTTGCGACTCATTTTCTTAAGGTTCATCTGATTGACAAAGCGTTGTTTGATGGTCTGCCTTCGAGCACCACCCAGATCAGGGCTTGGGGATTTGGTATGAATGGCACCAGGCGAGAGGGAAGAAGGCGACTTGTTCAACTTTGGATCCGAAGAGCTGGCGCCAAATATATTCGGATTAAAGGTTGAATTGGAGGCGAGGAAGGGAGAGTTGGACAGATTTGGAGCGGCTGGTCGACCAAACTGTTTGATTGACTTGGGGTACTGAACCATGAGGTTGAAAATGAATTTTAGGTACTCGATCATCACGTCAGTCGGGATACGTTGAGCTTCAGTATTCTGAGTCTGTTTGATCGAGTCTCCATAGATCCGAATTTGTGTCTCGAGCTTGAGTGCATGGATGAGATTAACAACGAGAGCGGTACTCTCGATGAGCTCGATTGACAAAGCTGACGGAACAGCAGTGATGAGAAACAAGGTACGAGAAGCGAGAAAGACGTTGGTGGTTGAATAGGAAGGATGTGTTGGAGAGTCATCGTTTGAGAGAGATTGAAGAGTGTTGGCGAGAGCCAAGTCAACAAGTGAGCTCAAGGCCGGTGAAAGATCGGGAGAACCACGAGCCAAGGGATGAAGGAAGAGTGTGTTGGCTAAGATCCGAAGTGATTCTTCGGCAATGGTGGGATCGAAAGGAGGTGGACTTTGATTGGTCGAACTTGATGGCTCATCGGATTGAGGGGAAAGCAATGGAAGTAAATTGGCATAGCGAGTGAAGAGGGATAGATGAGAAGCAAGGTCATCGGTGGCGACAGGAGAACGACCCAAGAGTTTCAGTGTGACAAGTGCATGGTGAATGGCTATAGAGAATGGTGAGTTAGTATTCAATGAATCTTTTCAAGAGAAACAAAGGATGACTAACTTTCAAAAGACCAATCAGTTCTACCAGAACCTTGAGCAGCGAGATCTAAGATGATGATTCTAATCCAAGACCTTCGAAAGGATGGTTCGAGATCAGGAGTAGCTTGATTAAGTTTCTCAATCAATTCACGAAATGCATTGAGAGCTGTTAGATTTTGACGCCTTTCTTGTAAAGATAAAGAAGGATAAGTGTTCATGATTGATTGAGATGTTGAAGTGATATGATAATGATGATTGAAGTGATTTGATTTGATTTGATTGATATGGTAATCAGTTAGAATTCAAATACTAATCCATCCACGCTCATCACTGACAGTCACCGTCACTGTGAGCGAGCACCACTACAGACTCGATTTGGTAATCAGCTCACTCAAAAATTAAACTTCAACATCTCCTTACCAATTCGATGCTACTTCTGCTTGGATACAACAACATTCACACTCTGATTTCCATTGGTCAGTTTGCATTTCGATTAGTTTGCTCATCAGCTTAAACTTCACTTCTTATATCATTTCAACTTGACTCAATCTCGGCAATACGACCAACACAAACCGGATATATCTATAGAACAAAATCTTCAAAGTCTTCAAGGACTTCCGCAACCAATATCGCTCATCAAACTTGTCTGAATCGTTGTTTTTGACTGGGTGATACTTCACTTTTTTTATAGCGCAAACAAGCCTTGACTATCGACATCCATGCCACATCTTATTACGACATACTTGCATTGAGTGATCAACAAACCACGGAAACCCCTAAACCCCGGAGGCACGGAGGGATTTCCGGGGTTGGTAGCGTTTTTTTGCCCGGGCACTAGGAGGGGACTCATTAGGTGGTGTTTATGGTGCTGATAACAGGCTTATTCCGTTCAATGTTGTGGGAATAATCATGAAAAAGATCACGAGTTTTTGTCATTCTTGAAAAGTTAGTAACTAGGTGGTAGGGCAGAGTAATGATATCTTTGACCACTGATCATGATCACAGCATTGCTGCAGTCCTTTTTTCAACTCTGTTTCAGTTTACCTCAATGTTTGCAGACCATAATTTGAGCATTATGAGCTAATATGGACATGATCACTTCGAAACTACCACTGGGCTTTTCCGTGCCCTTTATTTTGTGATGTAGGTCACTCGGTACTGTCATGAAGTTATGTATGAAGGCCTTCTTGGAGAGATTAGATGAGAGACGATAATAATGCGTTCAAATTGAATGCGAGATTGCAATGAGCTTGATGTTTGCGGGGGTGTTATCCAGGTCCCCAGACAGGCTTAATCGTGGCTTTACTTATGTCGCCAGACAGCTGTCACATGTTAGAGCAGGCACACCCTAGGCCAAAAACAAAGCAGTCATGTCTCCGACAGAGATAAAGCACTTTCTTTTGAAGTTTTTATTGCGCCTTCTTACTGCCTCCAGGGACGTGCTTCAACCAGACTGCACTAAACAATACAAATCCGACCAAAACATTCAAACTTCCAACATAGTAAGGGTAAGCATCAGAAAGAAAACGGGGATGTTGATCATGATCAGGAGGTGTGACCATGACTTGAAGAGTATCTTTGAGATGTGACATGCCGTTCCTTCGACGATAATCGACTCGGAAGGTAAAGACTCCATGCCTGTCAGGTGCACGGAAAACAGAAGAATAGGTGGTATAATTGCCATGTCGCGAATTGGTCGGCTTGAGTGACATGCGAAGGTGAGGATCGAGCATCGTAAAGTCCAGTTGCATGTCGGTCACAGAGTATGGGCCCCATTCACCGTTGTTCAAAGCTTGAACATCTACTTTATACTCCTGTATACAAGATGTGACCGCCATTCAGAGTAAAAAGTAGATCAGTCACACGTGACAGACAAGCGAGTAAACAATGAAAATACGAAAACCCACAATCTGGTCGTTGATGCAGTATCTCTCAGGTTTTTCTACACCATTGACTTTTCGGTGCGTTGATGAGAGGATACGAAGTACGGCAGAGTTCTGGAAAACCCATGCTGCTAATTCAGCGCTCACTTTGGAATTGGCGGCTTGTGATCTGATTAAATTAAGACAAAAGTGATACGCGTCAGTTCATGCTTGAGCACGTGGGTATTGTTAGTAGTATTCCAGCTATTCATGAACATGGCGGGTGCCAGAGGGGTTCACGAGCATCCAGGTTAAATATGCTGACGATGTGGTTGTGGTGGAAAAATCCATGGAGTGAAGAGGAATGCATAACGACAGATTCGAATGCATAGCTTACTTTTTACCGTCAGGCGCCTGAATTTCTGTCTCGCCAAATGTGTTAGAGAAAAATTCGACACTTCCTACGAACAATATTCTCGATTGTTTGTGAGTTTGAAATCCAGTGATCAACCCAATCTCCTCTCCTGTGATGAAAGGATCTGTGTCTGCTGGATCCTTGAGCTCAGCATCAGCACTGTAAGCAACAGGACTGGCACGTAGAACGCTGATCAACAGCGGGTTCTTTCCAACTGAGTGCCCGATACCACGAAAGATCACATTAGAAGCAGAGGATGATCGAGTTGATTGAGGAATGATCACTTGATCGTCTATCAATGGACCTCGCTCAAGACTAGTCACAACAGTCGCTGAATCCTGTCCGATATGAGAAAAGTGATCGAAAACAGCGCTAGCTTTATGATCGAAATCAATATCGAACTCTCTGCCGAAATCACGCCAGAACTCGGATAAATTGCTTGAAGCGCCCACAAGAATATTACCACCGTCTTCTAAGAACTGAACAAGCCTTTGTGGTGAAAGGTCTTCGGCAAAAGCTAATGGTAAAATGTGAGCGCTCCAGGACGAGTCAGCGATCGGTGCCTTTACGTGAAAAAAGAATGAACAAATTCACACTTGGTCGTAGGCGCGAAGATGATGAGATGCTGGAATGAGATTTGATCATGCTCGTACAGTTGAGGAGATGATTCTTTTGCCGCACGGAAGGAAAGTTGATGACCCCGGGCTAATGAAAGAAAATTTTATCATCAATGAAGGCTGATGGAATTTCTGAACAAAAGAAATCGAGAAGCACTTACATTGAATTGAAGACCAGAATCGACTATAATCATTTTGTTTGAAGGAATCCTCTATCACCACCAGGATATTGTCCGCAGAGACGAGTTTGAGGAGTGCGATGGTGATCAGGAGAAGTGAGATCATGATGAACTGTTTTGAAAAGTCAATCAGTTGAGTATCATAAATCGAATCTGATGATGAAATGCTTTCTTTACCGTTATGTGTGCCGTCACAGCTGATCGGCTCAACGGTTTCAGATAAAGCTGCGATGTGGAAGTTCTGCACAAGCCGGATACCATCTGATCCTGGTCCGATTCACTATTCGATACCCGATCTCAATGCACACCCGGGTACATGTACACAAAATCAGAACTCCAATTCATCACAATTCAGATTTTGCAGGCAAGCCCATTTGATGTTATGACACTTCATTCGTGGTAGATATACTAAAGAACGCGAGCTTTCAGACTCATCTCAAGTCAAACTGCAAAAATAATGAAATGTGTTTCCACTTGCCGCTGGCAACGGAGTGCCGGTACGGCTTGATTGAGAGTCCAATACCTCATGGCCTCACAAAGGGAACCAAGTCAGGAACGCAACAAATATGCAATGACATTCACCACAATTCTGTATAGGCTAGGAATCAAGCTGCGCCCATTATTCAGTTTATAATGGACTATCTGGGTGGTGGGATGAACAAGTTTTTACTAAGGCGTACTCTTGATACAACAACATACGCCTTGCTTTGTTTACCGTGACAATAGAAGAAATGATGATGCTCGCAATCGCCTTTTTCAAGTCCTTCTAGAGACTTGAATTTCAATCAATGTAGCATGCAACTCAAATCACTACAGTGTACCTTGTAGATATAGCACAAACCCATCGATCATCTCCTCAACTTCACCATCCTTATTGCCTCGGCCAGCAAAATTGGCTTGTTTCTGTAAGGTCGTATACTGACGTCTGAGTCGTTGTAGAGTGCCCAAGTTGACAGTTTTGCCCATAGGGATTTTGATGGACACCAGTTTGGTCCGTGAAGATTGTGGTATCTGGAATGGGAATGTGATTGTCCCATAAGGATTAGGGGATTGTTGAAGATTTGTGAGGAGTTCTGAAATGAGGCTTGATGTGGTTGATTCTAAAAGATGGAGGAAGTTTGTTGACGTCCGAGTGGCCTATTAAATCAAAAGTAACAGTTTGTCAAGAGATCTCATAAATCAACACCTGATGACTTGACGAACCGCCTTGACTGCTGCAGTTGCTGGTTTCAAATCCCCGCGCGTGACAGCTATCCAGATATCATTTCCGATACTAGACCATGACTTCATTGTAACGGTATCTTGTGATATCACCACACGACAGATAGAGTTCATCAAGACCAATTCTAACCATCAGTGACTCAGTACATTATGAAAGGTAAAATAAGAAGAAGCTGGGTACCTGCGCTCTCGGTTTTCGTTGCATGAAGTTTCGGTTGACGGGCCGCTGGGGAAATCTCATCCGACGGCGCCTGGCATTCGTCAATCACACGCAAGCCTTCCAGATTGCCAGCTAGTCCGTCAGCACTCCCGTCATGTGATGCCAAAAGTGAGTCACACCACGGAAAAACTACCAAAGGACTGTCCCAGCGCGTGCTGCCGTTTGGTTCTTCAAAGCGAGAAATCAAATTTCCAATCGTTTGCTCTTCATACTGAGCCTCGTCAGATAAGTTGGCGTTTCGAGAGATGCAGTCCGACGGGACGGCAGCTACATGAACCTACTATCACAAAGTGTCAGCATTTAACCTACAAAAACTTTCACATCTGCTAGGAGGATGAGAATCAATTCCGCACCGTGCAGTTTCGTACACCAGCTTCCCTCGCGGCACAATACAATTGATAGCGGAAGCCCTGGAATATAAATCATTGAATCGGTAGGCTGTCCTGAGCGTCCCCAAACGGCTGAAGTGAGGTTTCAGACGAGTTGGTCCATACTGAGCGCCCAGTGTGGGACTGCAAACGCACTTTGATGTAGTTCATACCATCACACAACACTATGCGACCCTTGCTCAAATGGCGAATAGTGTGAGATAAAAGGTGCCCACGTGCGACCTTCTCCGATTTACTATCTTAGACATTCCCGTCAGATGTATTAGATGTATTCAACGTCGGTCGATCACAGCTCCAGCGGACGGTATTGACCCACCATTGTAACTTGAACGATGGACTCCAAGAAGCTCGTCGTTAACAATGACAACATCCTTTATCGTTGTAGAATCGTCCTCTTGTAATCTTGACTCGAGCATTTCCTTGATCTCGATAGCACGCGTGGTCTTGCCAGCACAAGGAAAGCCCGAGATGACGACAAGTGCCATGGTCAGTCTCGGTGGTGGCCTGGGGATAGCGGTTTCTGCGGCCTGAGAGATATAATACGGGTGTCTGGCTATCTCGACCTGGAAGCTTCTGAGTCACAAAATGCTTTGAGAAATTTAATAGCCGGTGACCGGTATGAAGAGTTGATTCTTGATTATCGAATGCACCAATCCCGGAGATAAAAGATCTAAAAGACCGGCGGGATGGGAATCACCTGGGCCGACCCAGGACATGGTCGAGGCCCGAATGTCGGGTATGACGGAGCCCGAGGCCGTGGTGACCGACATCCATGCACATGTGATGGGAGCAGTGATCAAAAAGCGCAATTCGAGATTTTGCACCAAAGGGCGATTCTCGAAAGCAAGGAGTATTTGAGGACAAGCAGGAATTGATGGCCAAGTCAATGGAATGTCCCACAAAATAAAATGCCTGTTCATGCTGAATAATTGATGTTCAGATCAGAAAAGGACAAGAGCCCATAGGACAAGAGACAGTGGCGCAGCTAATGCTTCGCATGGCTCCTTGTAGGATGATAAGTTGTTGGATGGCAGGATGCAGATTGAGTTGAGCTGAGGCGAAACATCAAGCCAGCAACCTCGTCGCTTGATACGACAGTGATCAATGGGGCATGCTCTCAGCTACTTCAAAATTCACGCTAGTTTCAGTCAAGTTCGACGAGTATCTGAATTTCAACTTCTACCGGCCTTAACAGAGCTGAAGGAGGTACAGGGAGGGTTCATTGGAAAGCTTCGAAGCATACTTTTGGAGTAAGTCAAGAGATAGCCCAATGAATACGTCAGCAGCATCAATTCTGCCACCTTGCGCCACTTCACGGTGCAAAGATAAATAGTCTCCTTGACGGTGAATAAATTGTGGTACTGGGGCACTTTTACATGCTTCATGACTGAGCGGCATAACGAGGGCATAGTTCGCGAAAATTACACAAGCTAGATTGAGTGTTGACAAGCTTCAGCTATTAAAGCCAGAACGACGGTTGATCGGCATGGTGAGAGATTCTCGGAGAAGCGGTGGAACAGTGAACAACATTGCATCATCATTTCTTGCTTTTTGAAGCAGCTTCTTGACTCTTTAGAACTTTCTTCACAATCTTTGCCTCCTCAACCAAAAAAGCACGGACAATTCTGTGAAGACAAGTCATAAATCAGCGCCTTGAACACTAAGCTAATCTTCAGCCATCTCCGGTGGGCCTCACCTGTCACGGACACAGTTTCCACATCGGGAACCACCGTATGGTCGCTGGACGGTCTTGCGTCGCTTGGAGATGTGGGCGTATCGAATGGGCCTAAGAGCAGGGATCTACATGAGGGATCAATGGAGAAGAAAAACGTCCAAGGATATCGTCATTAACTGCCTGGTGTGACTTCAATGTGAACCCAATGAAAGTAGTCGAAATATAAGATATAATCAAGGTCTTACACCGGGTAAAGCGATATGGCAATCACCACATTTGGGGGCGGTGGCTTGCTTGTGGATACGTAATTGCCTCAATTTCCCTCCTGTGAATTGATTTTGTGAGTGAAAGAAGGCAGGAGTCGTCAGAATTTTGAAAAAGGGCTTTGGCGATGGTTCCAATGGATCCAAATCCTGTGACGCGCTTGAGGTCTTGAGGACAGCAGGGGATCGGCAAGATTCACAGAGCAACAGACGACTGACCGGGGGTTTTGATGATCCGGTGTAGGTTGGAGGCCGTGTTGTAGGACTTTCGTGTGCGGAGAGTGACTCGTTGAACCATCTTGACGAGATTTGCCTTGAGGAGTGTTAGCGTATGCGAATCGAGAGTAATAGAGCGCCCACCGGACCGATACTGGGAAGCCAACCTAGGGTTACACTCAACGGCCTACTTAGGTTTACGGCCGGGAGCCATGTATCGCAGGTCCTGCCAACTGCCAATCACGGCTTTAGGGTTAGGTTTACAGTCGAAAAAAATCTATGCACATTGTGCTTTGTCCACGACGATTCACCCATCCACATCCCCTGCAGCTTGTGGAGTATATGAAAAGTGCTTGCCCTTTCCGCATTCCAACATCATGAGAAGATTCAGCAAAGACGAGGATAGACGAAGACCGAGTTCAATATAGACTCTCCAAGTGTTATCAAACCTTTGAACGAACTTTAACCCGAGGCTTTGGAACCATCGCTCACAATCGGAAAGCGTGATTTGAATAGACCGAGCCTTGAAAGCGTGTCTTGTCCATGGGTTGTGTTGATCGTCATTTTTTGATTTTTTCCTTTTTGCTTACATCAAAGTCTGGCGAGATAAATTGTTGCGCGGGGTTTCCAGGTACGTAGCCCTTCAATATTAAAATGGTGATTTCACCCTTGTATCTGCCATTGTATTATACTGTCTTTGTATTATATTGAGCGAGCTGATTGCGCTCATGGGGGCAACTCAGTTAAACATATCTTGTCACAAAACAAAAACCTCATAGGAAGTACTCAAGACTGGAGAAGTGGCCTCCAGAAGTGTCAAGAAGTGACACCCAGAAGTGGCTCCAGAAGTTTCTTGAGTGACACTTCTGGAGCTTTCTGGGTAGCTTTGAGAGCCCCATATCACGTGGTGGTACTCATCTGGGCACAATTTCCAGAAAAGCTCCCTTCACATCTTTTCATCTTCATTTGCAATCGGATTCAAGTGACCTTGCCATTTTCATTAGACTTTGATTATAAGCTTTGAACAGAAAGAAACTACAACACAACAAACACATTTTTTTTTGGTCTTTTGCAGGTCAAAAGTGGTCTTTAACAATGATATCAAGATTGACTTCAGATTGTATTGATCAATCAAATGAATTGAAGCGGATGTCAAATCATATCAAGAGTGTTATGTTTGTGGTAGGAAAGAATCAAAAATAAGATGGATCCCATCATTTGGTTATAACATGTTAGTGTTCTGAAGAGAGTCATCCTCTAAAAAAACTCTGGTTGTGTGGTCACTGCTTAAACGCACATATGAGTGGAGTTCAGAGGTTCTTGGCTCCAGAAGCTCCAAACACTGTGTCCTTGTGGCAGTTGCCCAACAACAAGCGCACACGGACTGCCTTTGAGGCACAAAGGTAACTTGGGTGCGCTCATTGACAGGCAAACACCACATGGACATGGTGAGAAGTTTCTTGAGCATGTCCAAGAAACTTCTGGATGTCACTTCTTGACACTTTGGAAGCCCACTTCTCAAATCTTGAGTACCCTTAATGTTGAGTAAAGACTTGCTGTTACAATCCAATCACTGGAGTTCTCACTCTCACTCTGAATCTTGTGATGACCTAAGCTTAACTCAGTCCCTACAAGCCATTAAGTGTGTTTGTCACACCCTTGAAGAGGGGCTTACAACTAACTTAACCAATTCCCTCTGTAGTCAGACACTTTTGCGTCACAAGCTCAGGTTCATGCAGAGGTACTTAAGACTTATCTGCCAGGCTTGGTGAGCCAGCAAGGGCTCAAATATAGAGTTTGGCTGGAAGGTTTTCAAGCCCCAAAAACTCCCACTTTGTATCAATAAACCCCCATGCCCATTCCATCTGGATGTGAATATCCCCTTCCAATCTCTCCATTCAGATGTTCTATATCTCACTCTCACCATGCTCAAGAACTATGAGAAGTTTTTGAGTTTTGTTCAAAAAGTGAAGTGGTTCATTTCAAACTTCTGGAGACTTTGCTATCCTCAGAAATAGTGTAGTGTCCCAGATACAGAAGATAATACACTGTATAGTCCATTTACCCAAGTGAGTCTTCTTGGGTCCCTGCTTGCACACCAAAATGGGCTGATAAGTTGCAAGCATCTCTCCAGGGCGCCGAATTGGGACTTGTGGTCAGTTGGGAATTCCAACTTGTAATTTTTGGTGTGTGAACTCCAAGATTAAAATCTCTGTGAATTTGTTTACATCCTATGCCTCACTCACTGTATGTAGAAATTGGTGAAATTCTATTTATGTTACTTTTTGCATAAAACATACTTTAAATTTTTGTGGGGGATTTGAGGTGGTCTTAGGCAATTTACAAGAGGACCTCAGAGCCATTTTTTGGCATCTTTAACATAGTGCTTAAGCTGTGCCAAACGGTCTTTTGCTCATGACATTGTGTTGAGATTTCTGCTCTGCACCTAAAACAGGCTGAAATCTTGTTCAGTGCATAGCAGTTGCAGTATTGGTTGCATCCCCAAGTCAGTGTTGTTTCTTGTCACAAGTTGCAGCATCAAGGTTCTTGTGGGATAATTGGGATTCCTGACTGTCTGTGAGAATTCTGAGGTTATTACAGACCCATGTATCAACATACATGTATTTTCCATATCCTTGTAGCCAGACAGACTGGTTCTCATCTGCTGCACACAGGGCTTGTAGCTCCAAGTGCCAGACCTTCAGCAACCCATAGAGTACCAGCTTTGCCACACGCATACTCACCACTCATTTTTTCACCTGTCCAAATTTTCATCCATGAAAGCTCAAGCTTAACAACCCTCACCAACCCAAATTCAATTAATAAAAGGAGTCTGAAGGTTTGAACCCGAAAAAATTAAACATCCCATATCAATAATCCAATCAAGCCAGAAGCATGGAAACAAGCACTAGAACCTGCTGAATTGAAATGAGAACAACAAATAGTCATAATTTTAAATTTGAAGTTTATGAATCAAATCATTAAAGATTATTCATGGTTTTGATTGAGGAAGAAATCAAAAAATTGGATAATGTTTCATGATTTGAATTAAATATGTTTGATTGAATTACTAGACATAGAGAACATAATCAAGTAATTGGATCATGCTCTAAAAACTGTTCTTCTTTATTGACACTAACATATGATTGACCATTTTTAACAGATGGAAGTACATGGAAGATTGAATGATTTGAGTGGGAAATGGCTTTGGAATAGTGAGGCCATGTCACAAGAGCCATCTATTTTGAAAATGTATAATGAGAGTGACATGGTATCACTTCAGTTGAGTTTGATGTTACTTCTTTAAAAGTGACACCATACACTTTGAAATTTGACACTCCTGTGACATGACCCAACTTTTGTAAAAGTGACACAAGATAATTCCCAGTGAACCCATGTTGCAACGGGCTTTTGCCCACGGTCTGAAAGGCAGTCATTCTAGCCAATATACTAACAGGGATTACACAAAGGGTTTCGGAGCAGGTATTATGATTCAAGCTATAGCACCGACATTTTACTTTCAAAAACACAATTCTTGCAAAACCCATAAGTAAAAACCTCAAACAAATTTAAAAAAAAAGAAAACATGCAATAATAAAAAACAGTTAATTCAGAACACAGTGTATTCAAGAAATACAATTAAGGATCTTGATAAAGTGTAAACGAGAGGGAAGGAAAGGAGGACAAAATGAAAGTTCAGATAAGCAAATGAGAAGATTGAGAAACGAGTAAGGAACATTTATGAAAAGAAACGGTCTCCAAAAGAAGGAAGAGCAAAAGAGAGAAGAAAACAAAGAACCCTGTGTAAATGAGTCAACTCCTTGAGGAAGATGTATTATCTCTTCACAAGGTATAAGTAGAAAATTATGAAAAGACTAAACGAGAATAATGTTTATTGATATTGATGAGAGGAGGATTCATAAGAAAGAGAGTACCTAACTATTCATGAGGTACAAACGAAGTGGTGAAAGGAATAAATGAACGACATCAAAATAAAAAGGGCTTTCAAATCTTCAAATAGCAATTTGATGTCGATGATGAGACGAAGAAAAGTTCTTCCAGATGGTGAACGATTGGTGTACGCCAGTGAAAAAGTCACAAATAGATAGAGGTGACATGTAACGTGCGTCAATATCGAGTCCACCGATTGTTAGACGCACTACCCAAGCTATTGTTATTACTGGATGGTGGTCGGGATGTGAGAGTTGAAGTCTCCCCACGCTTGTTGACGCTTGTCGACCGACTCAATACACTGGCTGTCCTAGATTCTGACATAGTGTTTGCGCCTGCTGGTTTGTGGCTGCTGCTACCTAAATGATATGATGATAAGAAACCATTGAGGTTTAACCGCCTCCTGCCCGAGTTCTCAGTTTGTGCCGTCCGGGCATGCTCTGCAGTATTACTCATACTTCGACCTTTGGAAAGGAAATTCGGTCGACTCATCGACTCCAGCAATCCACCACCTATGGGGGGAAGTGTCCGTTGGCGATCGGAAGTTTGTCGTTTCATACCGAAGCGGCGACGGCTTTGAGGTTTAGTTTGAGGGGTTGCCGCATTGTCGGAGTCAGTGGGATCCTGGTGTGACTGGTGGATTGAAGAGCTAGAGTGCCTGATCAAAGAGGGCTGAGAAGGTGAGGTGATGTTGGCTGATGTCGAAGGGTCGTTGAATTTCTTCATCCGTAGCTTGTACTTGTCAACCACGCCCCGACTGAGTGATTCAAAGTCCGATCGGATTGATGTGCCAAAGAGAGAACATGAGGAAAGTCACAAAGGATACAATCAAAGGCACAGATTGAATACCAATGTCACCAACAAAAGAAAAAGAAAGAGGTACAGATCAGAAGAAAAGAACATTTTGCACGTAGATTCACTCATCTACTCCGTTTGCGGAATATTCGAAGAATTGCCGCTCTTTTTTTATAAGAATGAAACGGAACTGACGCAAAGAGAGTATTATTGGCTCGCTTTCCCCTCCTTCGCCCGCCATTCAAATCTGTCAGACCAGCCTCAGGAGTATCGACCACATCCCAATCTTCATCCGCGGTATCATCCTGCTTCTTCTTCGAAGACATGGCAGGTGTGCTTCCATCAGTCACTCCAAGTTCCAAGGTCGTTTTGCCAGTGTTATCAGATGCTTCTCTCTCGTTGCTTGTTGGACGAGTTGATGAGCTAGAGTAGTGCTCATCAGAAGCAATTGAAGTAGGGGTCTTCGCACTTTCACACAACTGATCATTTGATTGGCTCGTCAATCCAGTATCATTAGTGTCACCTTCGTTCTCCTCTTCGATGATGGAATCCTTATCGGTTCGAGGTGCAATGAAACTGTAACCATCAAATACGTCATTTCCATCTTCGTCCACCGCCTTCTCTGGTTCTATCTTGCCAGGTGTCTCCTCATCAGAGGTAGCTTGATCCTGAGAATCGGGCTGTTTGTCGTCGCCATCTGCAGCAGACGGTGTGGCCGGGTCCTCATCTTGCACATGAGTGGGCTCCATAGCGAGAAACGTTTCATCAAAGTTTTGAGTGTCAGTCGCATCGTTAGGATTGACTGCAGGGACATAAGGGGGGATGTAACGCTTGTGGCGGACACTGGATGATAGAAAAGACCTGTCAATTGCCTTGATGAGTTGAGTTGCTTTCGAATATGGACTTACTGGTCCCAATCGATCATGCCGAAATAGGGATGCTTTTTGATCCTAGCCCCTGTCATTCGCACCGCTGGATTACGCTGTAATAGCTGTAAATGGAAAATAAGGTGAGAACGCGCCAGCACGAGTGAGAAAATCGAGTTCGATACTCACCCCTCGTAACAAGGTCTTTGTGTCATGATCCATGACTCGGCTTGAATCTTCGACAAAAGTCAATTCATCATGCAAGACTCGCCGATACATCGTGGCATGGTCTTCAGACCAAAAGGGTGTGAGACCCGTAAGCATCTCGTACCTTAGTCATATTGAAACAGGATCAGCAGCTGACAAAAGGTGGTATATAGGGACCAGAGAGGATCAAGACTCACAGCATCGTGCCAAATGACCACCAATCAACCTCATAACTATAAGGCTCTCCCAACAAGACTTCCGGTGCCAGATACTCCGCTGTTCCACAAAATGTCATGGTTCGCTCTTCAGAAGGCACATCAGCGGTCGCAGGGGCAAACTGTTTACTGAGACCGAAATCAGTCAGGACGATGTGACCATCGAATGCAATCAAGATGTTCTCCGGCTTCAAGTCGCGATAGATCACCCCTGATCGATGCAATGCAGTCACGCCTTCGGTGATCTCAGCTGCATAAAATCGTGCACGATCTCGTCCCAGGCGTCCCCATCTAGCAAGTTGAGTGGCCAGGTCACCACCTGGATGAAAATCCATGACTAAGAATAAATGGTCTTTATCCTACAAATGTCACATTACGAAGTGATATGGTTAGAACGTGGAACTGAGTAGGGCGCAGAAATATAACATACATGGAAACTCCACCATAGTCTCACGATGAATGGATTACTACCAGGTTCATTGGCGACACGTTTCAGGACACCTTGTTCAGTCAATGTATGTTGAAGCTCTCGATGAGCCAAGACATGGTTTTTACGAATGCTCTTCATTGCATATACGCGCTGTTTCTTAGCACTACTACCGTGCGGCGATCGATACCTGGCCATCAAAACCTTTCCAGCGCAACCTTTGCCCAGAACTCGGATGATTTCAAAATCTTTGACATCAATCTTGGGTTTGGATAGCAAAGGAGTGATAGGCTCTTCAGGAATTGGTGGAGTCACGATTGAGTCTTTAGGAGGGTCGGGGATAGACTCTTGATCGATGACAGTAATCGATTTGATGGATACGAGGGGGTCGGAGGTGTCAGCATGGTTCGATGGCGGTTTGGTTGTGGTGGCACTGCTAATCGAAGAAGCGGATGAAATAAGGGGGACCGGGGTCGAAAGTGGATCTGCCTCTTGAGGGGTAGGAAGATCTGAGGTGCTCGGAATCGTGGCCGGGAAAGGCGGGATAGACGGAGTAGGCGAGAAGTCAATCGCAAATTGAAGAGCCTTGGCATCAGCAGAAGATAGTCCCAGGTTTTCTTCGGCTTCTTTTCTAGCAGCATGAGCAACACTTTCGCTGCTCTCAGTGCTTCGAACCGAGGATTGATGATTGGGATCAGGACTGGTCGACTGATCTTCAGAGTTGGGTAAACCGGAGAAAGGTTCGGAAGATGCGTGAGAGCTGTCCCGACGCTGATTGGGGCTTGTCTGGGGAGATTCAGGCTTTGTAATCGAGTTGCTATCAGTGTAAGAGGGTGTTTTGAGGTCATTGTGAATGGAAGTCATTGATGACCTGGTGTGATGAGGGGTAGAGCTAGTAGAGCTTTGGGGCTTTTCGGTGCGAGATTGGTGATCAGATTGAAGCTTGTTAGGTAGTTTCCGTTCGCGCTCCACGTCTTCCTTTCCAATCTTAAAGAACTCTCGCCATTCTTCAGTATCTTTGAGTGAATTCAAAGCTGAGTCGGAAAGGTCAGATGATGTTGCGATGGAGCTGGAGGCAGGCTTGGGAAGGATAGAGTGAGTTGAGAGTTCAGTGAGATAAACCCCTATTTGAACTTCTTCGTTTTGCTTCACTAGCTCGGTTCGATTGATGTTCTTCTTTTCAGATTCAGTTAAGCTGACGTCTACAAAATCCTCTTCGTCTGAAGAAAACAGATTAGGGTTAGAGAGTGATGTGTTTCTGCCAGGAGAGTGTGGAGGAGTCGGCGGTAAATTGACAGCTGGAGATTGACGTCGACTTGAAATTGAAGATCTGATTTTAGGGGGTGAGAGTGACTTCGAGATGGATTGCAGGACTTGTTTGGTTGTCTTGGATTTCTTATTTGAGCCTGGTGGACTTAAGAAGTTTGTTGGCATGGCAGAGATAGTAGCGCGCTTATTGACCAAAGAGAACGAGTGATTGTTCGATGATGCACCTGTACGAGTGTTGAGAGTTGAAGGTGAAAGGATAGTTGGGGGTTGTGGAAGTGACTGAAAGACTGTAGGGTAAGCAGTACGCAGCTGAATCGAGAAGCGTTTGACCGATGGTTAGGAGAAAGGTAGTAAAAGGTAAACAAGATCAGTAAGAGTTGAATAGGGTTTTGAAGGGTTGATTATGTGATTGAGTGTGATGAGTATGATAAGATGTATGTGTTTGATGAGGTTACATTAATGGATCAGTTGATACAGCAGTCCAAACAAATGTTTAGGTAAAGAAGCCAAGAAAGAAACACGAAAAGGAAACAACTCGATTACAATCAGCCGAAACTTCAGTGACGATGAGACTTGATGATGTGAAAGGGTTTTAAAGCATAAGCTCAAAGCATCCAAAAGGGTCGACAGAGAAAGAAAGGATGAGATTGTAGAAAGTTAATATTGTCTTGGTGATAGAGACAATCTCAAAGTCACCAAACCGAGAACACAAGAAAGAGAATCTAATGACTGAGAGAAGTTGATAATAAGATTAATCAAGAGTCTACAAGTCAAGTTTGTGATTGTGTAAAACAATCGATGATTGAACATTCGAAGCTTGATGTGAATATTGTCAAGATTTGTTTTAAACACTCTTAACAAAAGGGTCGTTTGTTCTTCGAGTTCAGTTTCAAATTGGGATGAGAAGGAAAGCAGATAGAACTCTATGAAGAAGATAAGAGAAAGACAGAAAGGGTAAAGAGGGATTAAATGACTCACCAATTGATCAAAGTTAACTAAATTTTCAAGACTTCGAACTAAAGCCAAATGAGATGAAGGTGTTAAAACGAAAAGTGTAAAAGATTGATCTCGGATCTGATAAGGTAACGGAGCGTTTTGTCAGTAGAAGTTATGATAATCAGTGTTTATATAGTCTTATTGATTTGCTCAATTGATGATGTTTGAAAGCTGACCTTGTTGGGTTTCTGTTTCGGATTACGTTCTTTGACGGTGATCACCCAAGATTGAAGTTTAGTAGTGATACTAGATTGACTTGTTCTTGGGTTATGTGGTTGATATTCTTGTTGCTGATGATGATTGTTTGACATCTTGACTAAAAGTGATTGGTAATAACCTTGGAGTTTGAATTTCAACTTGAGATTCGAAAATGAAGATGTTGAAGATTTTGAAGATGAGATTATTCCTATCAATTCTTGTTTTTTAGACTTTATTAAATAGATCGAATGTAAAATGACTTGAAGAACTAAAGAAATCAAAACGAAATAGTTGATGAAAAATCAAAATGAAAAATGGTTATCTGATCGCCTGCCGCTTAAAAATTAATCAAATCTTTTTTGCCAAGTTCTAAGAAATTCTTTCTTTTCTGAATTGACAACGTTGGAAGGCCAGCAAAACAAACACTATAAATATCAAAAAAAATTAAACTTGAATTGAGTTCAATTTGAACAAATTCAACGATATCTTAACATTTCAATTTGTTTGTAATGGACGTAAGGTCCACTTAGGTAGATTGAGAGGACCCTGGAATACACCCATGGAGGGTACTGACGGAGCATGATTTTCAGTTTTTTGCCTCTACACTACGCATCAGTGCCTCTATGAAGCTGCAGAGCACTTCAAAAGATGCGCATGGAGTAGGGCTATCAGATGAGACCAGACAGAGCCCGGCATCATGTCTCACGGCGGCGTAAATCGCGATGGCGCAATTTTTTTTTCGACCTCCAAGGCCAAAAACCGACCCTCGATTTTTGGCCCTTTTTTGGGCGTTACATTGATATATCTTAGGTAAAATTGGTGCTACCAGGCTGCGAGCTAGTGCATTTGAAAGCCTTCATTCTGGTGCATCTTTTGTGCTCCTGTAGGTATTGATAAAGTGCAGTTTAGTATCGAAAAACTACGTCAACAAAAGGTCGGTTTTTTCGTAAGTACCCTCCATGGGTGTATTCCAGGGTCCTAGATTGAGGTCCACTCGATCTCTCACCGGTGCGATCTCATCATTCTCACTCACACACCCAACAGACTGGCTGACAAACCCAAGACACACCCTGTACACCCACACACTGACTTTACTTAAATCCTTCAACATTTTCACTCATTTAATCTACGTAGCTTGCTTCAAAGTCAAGGGGTGCGAGTCGAAAAGGTAGATTGTAGCTCACAAAATACATCAAACATTCATCTATGATTCAGGGGGGATGCTTCTTTATACTTCTTTTCATGTCCTCATGTCAAAGCTGTTGCCATGAGTCCACCGTGAAAAATCCTTTTGTATGGATCTGCTTCTTTACTTGAAATCTCAGGAATGTTTTTCTAGTCAGCAGAAAATCTTTTCGTGCGTTTTTAGCCACGAAATGCACGAAGATGGTCAGAGAGTCAAGTTGATCAGAAGACTCGATCTGGAAGACTCGAAGGGCTGTGGAAGCGGCGAGGCGGGCTCTCATTTAAATGAGAGACAGTCAGACCTATTGGGTTTTATCATTCATATTCCCTCTAACAAATGCATCAACCCTTGTCAAAACGCACTCCTTGTGACAGACATTTGTCCGCTGTGTTGCGCCTGGTAATGGCACGCCGGGTCTATGTTCTTTGTGTAGTTCCGGTGCCATGGATATGTAGGTGATTTGGTGATGATCATGATGATTACAAGTAGGATGAGTGGGAGTCATTGTGGGACTTTAGTGGTGCTCAAAGTTGACCTACTTTCAAAAAAACCAGTTGACCCAGTTGACTTTTTGGCTGTGAGCTGTCAACAAAAGTCAACTTGATACACAAAGTTCCTGCCAAAGAGCAACTGGGTCAACTGGGTTTTCTTTAAAACCAAGTCTACTTTGAGCACCACTTTTGTTAAGTTTAGTACCCAAATGGGCAATGACTTTTGGATTTGCATTGCCCAATGCTCACTTGGGGTGTGGCAAATTCTAGCGCCTCACATGAGAGCCAAGCTCTCTGCCTCTGCAACCCTTTGAATGCTCTCAAGGATTATCTACATACATCACAGAGAGAGTTCTTTATTTGCCAACTTTTTAACTAAGCATCTTGAATATGAGAGGTCAAGCTTACCTTGAGGTACACATCATAGAGATAATCATTGTGATGATCCAATAGAAGACCTCAATATATTAGGTGTGTTCAAACCAAACCGGGTTGCCAAAAAACTTCGTACACCGGGTTACCTTCTTGGCTGGGAGCTGTCAAGAGCTGTCAATAAATGCCAACTTGATACAACAAGTTACCATCAAAAATGCAACTGAGTGTGCCAAGTTAGGTTTGAACACTGCTTTTGTTTATTGGTCTTCACACTTGTTGAGATTTTCTGACCTGACTCTTTCCATCACAAACACAAGTCTTCTTTGCTGATTGGGCAGTGGGACCACATAGTTGACACATTTTCTGTGTGGTGTGATTTGTGATGGTAATGATCTAATGTTTTCAATGAGAGATGTGTGATGGTCAAAATGGACTAAGTGCTGGACAAGACATGTGCTGTGTGTTCAACAAAAACCAATGAGGTGTGATCCCAAACCACCTTGTGTGGTGAACTTATATACATATGTGCTCCATGACCTGGGAGCTATTCAACCCAGATAAGTGATATGGAGGCCATGACACTGCAAATATAATGTGTTTCTCCAAAGTGAAAAATGATTGCACTTAATGCACAAAATGATTAATAATGCAGATTTAATGCAGAAAAATGCAGATTTAATGTAGATTTAATGCACTTTTAATCATTTTTTGAATTAAATGTAATCATTTTTCACCGCGGAGAAACACATTATATTTGCAGTGTGAAC